TTCATTTCAAGCAACTAAAAGAATCCAAAACTACAGAGCAAATACAACAAATATTAACAATGCCACAAAGAGTGGCACAAATGCAATTTCATTAATTACGGTTAATTAGTAAAGCGAAAAATCTGTTATTGCAGCAGAAATAACTTTTAAGAACTACATTTTTCATATTTTTTTAGTAATTATCCACAAAAAATACTTGGCTTCCACTCTGGCCATTCGTTCATCTGCACTCGTATATCTTCATATGGGATTTTTCCATAGGCCAGTATAAGCCTGGAGACTTCCGCGCGAGCACGGGCGTCGAAATAATAAAGCTTCAATTTTTCGGACATTTGAAAATGAATTAAATATGCAAATACCTATGACAAACAAGAGTAAATTATGACAATTTTCTAACCGAATAAAATACTCGATGTTGGTAAATAATCTAATCAGCACTAATTCACAAATATAGACTTCGCGCTCAATTAAAATGAGCTAGAGACCATACAACATAAAAGTAACCGCAGGCAGATGAAACGTGAAATATAAATGAGAGCATAAGCAAAATTAGAAAAGATGAATAGCAAGTCAGATCTACCACTGGCAAAAAGCAACTGCACTTATGTGAACCGAAACTTAAACAAGGTATGAATAATATATAAATACACAAAGTAATAAACCTCAAGACGATTTGGGAAGTGCTTTGCGGGATTATACCGCATTTAAAATTTATTGTACTCAAGTTCTCAAACGTCATGCTTGATCGTTTTTTAGGGAGCGTCTTATTACATATTACAGATACGATGTTACAGGAATTGTCTAAATATTCAAGTACAACGAAATGATTTGTTTTCGATGGAAGTGAAGCAAGACAAGTTGACACTTTTCCTGAACTAATCACGACAAAGGAGAGAAAGTACGCTACTCGGATGTTTCACAAGCCAACACATATCAATGAATTCCTGCCGTTCGATTCGACAATTCATATGGCGTGAAGAGGTGTATCATCAAGACTTCAGTTAGGAGATGCTTTGAGTTGAGCTCAGACAACAGTGGCATCCAAAAAGAACTAGCATACAACAGAACAGCTCTCAGAAACAGTAGCTACCCTAGACGATTGATGGAACACTCAGCAGTAAGTACAGAAAGAATACGAAGATCAGTACCATAACTGTTGTCCCATACGTACAAAATTTAGGCCAGAAGCTGCAGAGGATAGACCGTTAGGGGGAACCTAGTTACTGTTCCGATCTCAAACAACATTACTCAAAACTACCGCGCCGAAATTCCAACAAGGCTGGATTTACACTCTATCTTTGAGCATGGTTTCAATTACACAGATGAAACCGGCCACGCCACCGAACAGAAAAAGAAAGAACACTTCAGCAATTTGACAATCTGGCGCAAAACTGATGCATGTCAGAATGGAGACATACAAAAAGATAAAGGGCGGAGAAAAACGAAAAATCTGGAGATGGTGCAGCAGGAATCTGAAAAGAACTGGGCGGCTGTGCAACATGCAGTACAAGAATAATACCGCATATTATGGGACCATAGGAAGGGAATATACAGAAAGCGAAACTCTCGAAACCAGAATATAAAAAAGTTAAGATAACAGAATCAAGCAAATTAATGAATTAAGACCGGTACTGAACAAGGCATCAAGGACATTCCTCTATCGAAGCTAAAATCTCCATTTCCATGAAGTCTGTACGAGCATTGACAAATACCGTAACATCGCATCTGTAATATGTTGCTACTTCAAAATGGATCAAGCATCGTTCGAAACTCTGGAGAGCTTGTATATGATAAACTTTATACTCGGTATAATTCTATCTGGAATTGTCGAAATTTGAATGAAGTTGTTACATGAAAGTATACACCTATGTACTGAAGGTAATTAAAAACACGACTGATTTATCACTGCCTATCTTTCTACCAAGGCAACGTTGTAAACAGCATATAAACATAATTACAACTGGGACATTCGAGAGCGTAACGCATACACCGCTTGGCAACACTATCACTCAGGTCCTACATCATTAGCAATCTCTTAATAAATATGCTAAAAACACCAATCACGGTAATTAAAACATAAACGAACGATAAATCCTTCACTTTACTGTACGACAGAAAGATCACGAAAGGGGTGACTAAACGACGCTATTTCATGAGAAACTCACTAAAAAGGGAATAAAGCATACAACGTTTCGCGAAACTTAGTCTAACGAGCTGAATACATATACAACAAGCAGTCAAATTTTATAGTGACCAACAAATAACAATTTTCAGTGCTATTAACGATAGACAGTAACAACGTTCAAAAAAAGCATCTTCATGACAGTCTAAAGCAATGAGACCAACGAGATAACGATTCAGCGATTTGCTACGCCATTCGCCGAATATTGACCGGCCACGGCGATTGACAGTGCACTACGCAAAATACCGATCTATGTATAAAGAAAGTGCTGAAAACGGGTTTCGAGTCCATACGCTGCAGTTACCTACAACTTCCATGGATACGAAGATGTAGTTATAAAAACGCGTAAAAACAAAAATCCGATTTGCAAGTACAGATACAGGTTTTTAATGCTGCAATACTGAATACTGAACTACACATAAAAGCTTTTTTAAAAACAAAACTTCTGGTTTTGCTGTTTCGCTGATTTTACCTTGCGATCTCTAATTTATTGCTGCATAAATCAAAACAAACTATAGTCATACGACGCAGACGACATTTGTTTGTGTCGTATAGCATTGTTTGGTCAGACAAGTATTCCTAACTTTTTCGTTCAAATAAATTCATCTCGAAGAACACCTACGGGAAGCCTAATTATGAGTACAACAAATAGTTAATTTCCGAAGGAGCTTGTCGTTTCAATCTCACCTAAAGTGGGTTACTACAACAACTTGTCTTTCCACTTTCACACAGATACATCGACCTTGATACTGGCCTTAACGATATACAGAATCTGCAAACCACATCAGTCCCATCAGCACTACCGCTATGCAGGAACAAATCCTGTAACAATACGTAAGCATGCAACGGTTCACTCATTTGATCAAAGTAAACACTTTATCCCATAATTAAACATAAAGGGAAGGTAAAGCTGTAAAATCCGGCTGTCCTAATGTTTGACAGACAAATATATAACTTATCGTCTATGAAAGACATCAGTGTCTAAGGAGGAAAATGTTCGGAGCCTCTAACGAATATCACCCCATTCATCGAGTTACAACCGTAGCTTCGACACCCACCTCATCATCTCATTACAGCATAATACTTGCCGGTATAGCTAAACACTTATAAATTATAATTAGTGCGCATGATACATAGCTACATTTCACTTGTTGAATACCTAACGTACTGATCAAATATATCAGCGATCCGTCAAATACTGTAGACAGGTATTGACATGAATTTTACTCCTGCTTACATTTTACTGCTATCGATCATCACACCGTGACTATTCAAAATAACGTCACCAGTTTCAACTTCAGAAACTCGCCGCCCTAGTGATATCAAACTGGAGCAGCATACCTCAAGGAATCCGAAAGATTTGTAATGACGCAGTTATCATGTCACCAAAAGAAGCCTTAGAGTTCATTTAAATAAAATGATGGATGAACAATAGACAAAAAATCGTCTATTTACTCTGCATTTCATGAGCTCAATGAGCTTTCGGAACTTCATGGGAAACGTGCAAACTGAACAGAAAGGTTAACCGAAAGTGAAGCATTGAATCGATCTATATCAGCATTACAGCCGTGACAGCAGATCATCGAAAAAGACTCTGCAAGATAGCAGACAAACAAATAAAAGCGGCGATATGCACAGAGGCCCTAACGTAATGGGTTACGGCTCTACCACCGATGCTATAACGATTAGACACCGCCAAAGAAACTGAGAGAAATTTTAGTCCAGCAAGTCAACACGAAAAGCAACTTTTAATTTCAAAGTTGGAGAGATGAGCATTAGTCAACAACCGACCGTATGTACAATTAAATGATCGTTCAGAGAAACTGCTATTTCACTTTCTTCATCTGTCTTCTTATTCGATAAATGTCGTTCGAAGGAGGAGCTTGAGAGAGATCAGAATTTTCCTCATCAGAATCGACTTCTCGACTTCCAGCAGTTCTTTTCTTGGGTCCTTCTTGAACGAACTAAAACAACAGAAACAGCATCAGCAATTGAAGAAAAAACAAAAAAAGTTGAAACTTCCTGACTCTGAATCAATGGTAACCGTTCGCTTTACGAATTTCTTGTCGCACGACAGAACAGGTGTTATCTACGGCTCGAACCTTTCAAATAAGAGCGAATTTAAGGATTGAAGCATGGAGAATAGCGCAATTTCTTCGGCCAAACATTTAAGTTAAAGGTCATATATTCACGAACATAAAATCTGTTACTGCAATGAATCTCAACGTATGCAAGTGAATGAGATGATTCGACATTCCTGACATGAAACTGAGGATGAGGCCATTCCGATTCCCTGAACTAAAATACAGCAACTATAAAAAATAGCATAAATTCCCGTGGTCAAGAAATGGCTGAAGAGTTTTCACTTTTCAACATGAAATATAAATCACATAAGGCATTGTTGAGTAAGGAAAATTTTTCATCAGGAGTATGTGGCATAAAAATGCACAAAATGATAACATACGTCAGGTTGGCACAATGGCACACACTGAATAAAATTTGCCCTCTACATGAACAAACGGTTACTTCGATCTTTGAGCCATATGCCCTTGCAGCAGATAAATAGGCCAAACAGTTGCTTACCTGAGTAGGATCAGGAGTTGTCGAAAGAAGCTGATAAAAGTCTTTTTTGATTTCATTGCTAAAGTCCGAGTTTTCGACGGCATCAGGCTCGGTGTTTGGCCTCGGAAGTTCATCGCCCAATGACATGTCGGTAAACTTCTCGATTAGCAGGTCGACGATAACGAATGGTCCGTTGAATGAGTAAGGCGGCGGCATCAAACTCATGAAATGAGCCACTGCCGGCGGAGGGGGGAACACACCGCCTGGAACCGGGTGATAGCTGCCTTAAAGTTACAAGTTGAAAGTTAAATTTGAAATTGCAAAACAAAAAAAACATCTTGTACTTGTGGTAATGATCTTTGGCTTGAACGGTATAAGTTGGTGAAGATTTGGTCGCGGGTAACCATCGCCGTAATCGTAATGTCTGTACTTCGACGTCTTCTCGGGAGAATTTCCAACGGGTTCAGTGCCCGATCGCAAAACATGCTAGAAAAGTAACGGTAAATACACTAATAAAAAATTTTTTTATCATCTAGCATTAGTTCTGCTAACGAATAGATTTCACTGTTATACCATACCAGTGGGCTATCTGGTTGTTGAGTTCGCCCTCTTCGTATACCATTCTTTTGATAGAAAAATAGACTTTTATAAAGAGGACGAATAACCCAAAAATGGAGAGGAGCAGTGCTCTTGGAAGACATAAACAGCAACAAACCACGGTACAGAATATGGGGGGAGATCACTCGTAAAGCAGCAGAGAATGAGGCTCAGCAGAATCACGGAATCTCATCAGAACAAAAATACTTTTATCAAAGGCCGAAAAGCAAGGAGGATTAGAGACATGATGATAGCCAGTTTAGGATCGTGACGAGTTAGAATCACTGTTTCAATGGGTAAAGAACTCGAAAATATATGGAAGAAACAAATACCTCAAAAACGTGCAACATTAACCTTTGGACAGATGCAAAACATCAGCTTGCTAGCATTTCCTCGGACAAAAACATCCTAGGGCATAGTGCACAGCAGATACACTAATGCTGTTCTGTCTATGCTGCTACACTGTCCCGTGATCTAGACACGGTAGAGTTAGAACGCCCTCAGATTCAATGAATTTTGGCAGAGGAGTTTGAACAGCTTCTTGTGACCAGGTCTGATTTGCATAACTAATATCCATGGCCACGGCAGGACTGTCTAGTGTGGACAATATTCGCGACATTCCTTTCTAGTGAAAATGACCTTGAGACTGAACAGAACAAATGTGATCAGCCGTTTCAGACGAAAGACCAAAAATGATTTTAAAGCTTAGATCGTGCACTTGAAACGTGATTTCAGAAGGACACTTGGCACATTCTTCTCTCCATTGCTCCCCGTGTGATCATCAGCTCGCTATCGTCGACCTTCACGATGGTCCAGCATTTAAGGTACATATTACCATAGGTTGTACGGTGGAATTAAGCAGTTCCATCGTCGTCGTTACACTGAGGATACCACAATATATGCCTCAAATTACCTTCATTTATGCTACTCCGCCAAGTTAATGGCACATAAATTTAGAATCAACTCAAATGATAACGAAGATCTACTCACTGCACCTATCATTTACTTATGTAAAAAACACTATGTACTATCCATATATGCATTTCATGGGAAAACATATTAACAATAAAACAAACAGTTTCCTACCGAGTAGCCAAGTACGCGAAGCACTTCAGGGGGACAAGGCAGCAGGTCGAG